GGAAAGAATGGATAACGGAACAAGAAGCAAGCGCCAGATTGAAAGGATGCTACAGAAGAGGAGCAAATCTCCAGTACATAATTAGTCGTATTCCACAAGAGTGGAAAGACATCCTGATTAAAGATGAGCCGTGGAGACCAGGGGAATGGGGCCTCATGAAACAAGACTCTAACCCCGCTAGAGCCTTCCAATTCTCCCATATACAGCAAGGCTCTGCCACTAGAGCATCCTTCCTATCCTTCCCGATTTCCTACAACAGCACTGACATGCCTTCCATCCTGAACCATGATGTTGAATCCTCCACACTGGAACCCTTCCTTCTRAGGAAAGTTAGGGTCCTAGGCACATGGCCAAAATCAATTTTCAGACCTGACACTGCAGTCCGATCCTTAGAATTTGATCCCGCTGARTGGGCATGGAAACCCAATAATAACAGCAACTTCAAGGCCAAAATCCCAATTCAAGACTACACCGTCAAACTAGGGTACAGACTCTCATTGAAGACAAAAAACMCAGACCCCATTATTAAAAACAGGTGGCAGAAACTGGTGGGTCAAGAAGCTGACAGGATCCAAAGAATCCCTTGGGAAAAATTCAAACGAATTAGACCGGTTAAGATCAGAAGCTTGCAGTGGTTGATAGCTTACGCTGCCCTACCTGTAAACCAATGGTTACACACTAGACGGAAGACTACAAATCCTGACAGCTCAGAATTATGTGCAGTCTGCACGGAGGGAGCGGTTGAAGATGTAGTTCACTGTCTAGTACTCTGCAAGGAGGTCACGGAATACTGGGAGAGAGCCTCCGCACTCTGGAATTCCCTTTTCACATCTTCCTTCCCCACACAACCCCTCCAACTACTCCTCTTGACCAACATCCCTATCCAGGCTCGGAGGACGGAAAGAATCTGGTTTGAACTCATCAGGAAAGTGACTCTATGGGTCATATGGAAGGAGAGATGCAGCAGGACAATCGAAGGGCATGTCAACCTCAGGGAGAAGGTATGGCTGGAAACCAAAATGATGATTCAAGCGGAAATCCTGTGCAGATGGCGAAAGATCAAACAAGACTGGGCAGAGGACGAAGACCAACAGAAGAAGGAAAGGGCGAAGTCCTATAACAGTTGGCTGCTAAAGGGCAAGATTGCAGAATTGAGTGAGGACCGGATACAGTGGAAAGATTGACATAATTCAATTCCGGAAAGGAATCCTCATCAACAGACAAGGTCGGAGGTACCATTCATGGTCTAGGCCCAACGGGATTGGATTCTATGCTTCAAGAGTCCCAAGGAAGTTGACTAAATTAGGCACCGGGGGGAAATAGGTCAGATAAGGTGATGGAATAAGAAGGCAGTACGGAGTGCCACGGCCCGAAGGATACGAAAAGACGGTTTGAAAAGAGGGGGGAAAAGTCTGAGGACGAGCAAATAAGGTAACAAAGGTGAAGGGAGGGTCTCTCTCTAGGTAATACGGTTACATCTGGCAGACCTGGATACCAGGTCTGAATAGGAGAGAGGAAGGTTGGGCAAGCGGTCAATTAACTTCCTACTATGGAGGTACAACGATCAACAGTGCATACAGAAAAGAGGGTTTAGGGTTTAAGGTCGAAAGGCTTCTCAATCTAGGTACAGGAAGTCTGAATGGGTAGGGTTTAGGCAATAAAGGTCACTTGAGGGATTCGCTCCATACTCACCATCTGGCAGACTCGAACACCAGAGCTGAGAGAAGAGAGAGGGTCAGGGCAAGCTGACAGTCAATCCTCCACGGATGTGGAGTAATCAATGCTGTTCAGGGGTCCTTCAGCCAAACGGAAGGAAGCGTGTGTGAATTCTCATTTGATGTAAAAAAAAAAATTATGACTTGCCGGGGGAATAGGAACCGGACTGACGGTCCCCAGAATAGAAGGAGCCAGGACCATAAGGCCTGTTTTTTTTTGTTTTTTTTTAAAAAAAGAAAAAGAAAAAAAAAGAAAGGAATACGTGCAGTGACCCTAAGGGCCTCTACTCAGCACATGCACAAAAACAAAAGACAGAACATATGGCGGCGTATTATTCCATGTTCTGCAGAAGATTCATTCTAGTTTTGCACATTTGGTGAGTAGTGCAGCCAAGCCCTGAGAATCACGTGCAGAGACCAACACGGCCTAGCTACGTGAGCAACCCATAACTGCTGAAACACAGACCTGAACTTGAATCCTGAGCATATATTTGGCCAGCTCGTGTTCTGCTTCATATTTACTGCCTGCCTCGATTCTGGTGGGGGGGTCTACGCCCCATGGCTGCGAGGACCCCTCAGACAGCCTGCATGGGCCGTCTGAGCCGTGTTAGGGGGTTTTCCCCACCCCACCCTGAAAAAAAAGGAGCATTTACACACACACACACATTCACACACACACAATGGTGGGGGGTGACGCCGCACTTACGCGGTTCGGCGGGGAGGGGGGGGGGGGGGGTTGCCGCTGGTGGGGGTGGTGGTACTCCGGGGAGGGCTTTTTTTTCACTTTCGGGGTTTGTTGACCGAGTGCCACCACCCCGTAGTCCGCGATGCGCGCGCGCGGGGCACGGGGTCGCGTTCAATTTTTACGCGCCACGTGGCGCGCAGCGCGTTTGAACGCGGCCGCGCGGGGTATGAACGCGAACGCTCGTTCGGCGCGTTCAACCGGTTACACAGACTGTAAGGGGGTAACACACACTCAGAGTTGCGCAAAAGGCCGTAAAGGCAAATGAGAGCGAAGATTACAGAAAAAAAGAAGATGACGCAAAAAGCAAGTCACACCCATGGCGAGACAAGAGAAAGAAAAGGAGAAAGAGAGGAGACCAACAAAGCCATGGAGACAACTCAGTACGCGCAAAAAACACTCAGGCACGGATACAATAGAAATTCCGAAAAGCACAAGTCCATGCCATGCTGGCAAAGTCCCTATGATCGTTTCAACTGTCCGCTAGTAACAGTATCGTCAGCGGACAAAGTGCGCATACCAAAAGCTACAAACATCCTCCTTAAGTACTCTTCCTACTACTGTGCTCATGCGACACCATCCCTCCATGCAATCCACCTTAGAAAACGCAAGTGACTAGTAACCAATGCATCGCACAGCAATCCTTTTTTTTTTTTTTTTTAATTCGGATTTATTCCCCCTTCTTTTTTTTTTTT